CTGGACCACATGAACAACAAGCCCCACATTCCAGAACCCAGGTGGTGAACATCTGGCTCTTTGAAACCCAGGGGCTGTGGTGGTTCCACCTGCAAAGGCCATGGTCTTACCCTTGAGGCTGAGACAGCTCTGCTTCTCATCTCTTTGGTCTCTCCACTTCTGCTGATTAATGGCAAAGGAAACCCACTCTACAGGAAATCTTCCTGCCCAAAAACCACTCAGCTTCGTTGCTCCATGGGCCGGCCAATCTGCAACTCCATTTCATGCCAGTCTCTTCTTCCAATTAACGCCTCAAGGCAACCCACTCCGCCAGGAAGCCACTTGCGCAATGGCATCCAGCCTTCTCCTCCATGGGATGGTAAGGCTGTCTCTGTCTCATGCCAGCTCTCTTGGCCCTGCTCCTGCCGTCTCTCATGCCGGTCTCTGGGCTCTGCTCCTGCCCTTTCGCATGCCACATGCCAGGGTCTCTATGCCAGGGTCTCAGGTCAAGGACGTACTCCAATTCTGTTTCCACATTTTAGGTATCTGTCAGAGCAGCACACCACTCTCTCAGTACCATATTGTGTTAGGCTGGGTTCTCTAGAGAATCAAAACCAGTAAAGCTTATATATACATATAGAGAAAGAGAAATTCATCTTAGGAAAATGGCTCACACACTCATAGAAGCTGGCAAATCCTAACTTCTTGTATCAAACATCAAGGTGGAGGCTTTTCCCAACGCATGCAGCTGCAGGGGCTGACAAGTTCAAGGATGGCAGGCAGTATACCACTTGTTGATGCCAATGAAATTATGAATCCAAGATCTCCAGTCCAAATGGTGGATTGTTCGCTCACAGACAGTTGTAGGCAGCACAACAGGATCCCAATCCACAGAAGAGAGTCTCTTTTCCCAGGATGTCCATAAATATACTGGAAGCAGGCCACACCCCTAGGAAACTTCCTTTCAGTGGATTGGCTGCTCAAAACATATACATCCAATCCCATCATGAGAATAACCCACAGCACAACTACTTAAACCACACAGAATTGTGGTCCAACCAAGTTCACACACAGCTCCAACTATCAAAGATGGTTTCTAAATTCTGGTGAGATATCATCAAGATCACCTTTTGGCTCTCATGGACTTGTTTTAATTTTCTTCAGCTTCATCTTGAACTTGCATATGAGCAATTGACGGTCTGCTCCACAGTCAGCTCCTGGCTCTGTTTTAGCTCAAAATATTGAGCTTTTCTACCACCACTTTTCATAGATTTAGACAATCTGATTCCTGTGTATTCCATTTGGCAAGGTCCACAAGTACAGCTGCCATTTATGTTGTTTAAAAAAAGGTATCTCCAATGAGTAAGTCATTGGTCTCAAAAAATTCTGTCATGCACTCTCCAGCATCATTTCTACCACCTAAGGTCGTATTTTCTAATCACCAATGATTTTTCTTTGTTTCCAACTTTCAAATTCCAATCACCAGTAATAATCATTGCATCTTCACTGCATGTCTGGTCAATTTCAGATTGCAGAAGTTGGTAAAAATCTTTAATTTCTTCATCTTTGGCTTTAGAGGTTGGTGCATAAATTTAAATAATAGGAGTATTAACTGGTCTTCCTTGTAAGCATATGGGTATTATCCATTGACAGCACTGTATTTTAGGATAGATCTTGAAACATTCTTTTTTGACAATGAATGCTACACATTCCTCGTCAATCTGTCCTCAGGTTAAAGTTTTGGAAACCCTATGGGGCAGTTCTACACTTTCCTCTAGGGTCACTATGAGGCAGAATAGACAATGGCAACAGGTTTTTGGTATTAAAAGAGGAACTTTATAAGGGCAGAAAAAGGAGAATTCATCCTTTCCAAATCTTCTCCTTCTGTAATTATTATCACCCCTGCAATCTCCCCGGTCCCAGAAGCAGATATCTTCCCATCTAAACTGATCAGTTTTTTCACCAATAAGCTAGGCTACTAACCAGGAGAAAATGAATGCACATAATACTGTTGCTTATACTGCTTTTTAAAATTTATTTATAACATACAACATTTTACATTCATACATATACACACGATTTCACAAATATCTGAAGGCATGTGCATGTGCGAGCAGGGAAAAAGTCCCTGCTGAGATTGAACAGCAAGTTTTGGTATTTGCTAATTCAGTACTTGTGGGGATTTTATAGAACATAACTACCATGAATAATAAGAATCAACAGTGTATGGAGGATGAAAAAAAAAACCAAACCCACAGCCATCGAGTCAATTCCGACTCACAGCAATCCCCATTTCTGAGGCAGTAAATCTTTGCAGAAGTCGATCACCTAGTCTTGCTTCTGTGGAACAGCTAGCAAGTTTGAACCACCAACCTTTGGGTTAGCAGTCACATGCCTTAGGCACTGTGCTACTAGAGCTCCATCAACAGTATACAGTATATTATAAATATATACAACATTCCATAAATTTTCAATGCTAAAAGGAATATACCTTCCATATATGCTTAAGTATGGCAATCTGAAATGACATATTCATCTCAGTACACTTTGTGAAAGGAAGCATTTGCCACTGACAAAGAATAAAAGAATTGAGTAAGAGGAAAAGCAAAATCTATCTCATCCACCTATAGTCAGTTTTTCAGGGGCAGTTCATTTTACTCTTCAATACATAGGAGCTCTGGTGGCGTAGTGCCTAAGGTATTTGACTGCTAACCAGAAGGCTGGCAGTTCAAACTCACCAGCCACTCCTCAGAAGGAAGACTGGGCAATCTACTTCCATAGAGATACCACCTCGGAAACCCAAGGAGGGGTCACTATGACTCTGAACCAACTTGATGGCACTGAGTTTTGTTTTTTTATACCTTAAACAGAACCATAGGAGTTCTATGTTAATATTTTTTTTAGTAATGTTTCTTCTTTTATTAATTATTAAAGTCAAAATCTATCATTGTCCCGGTGAAGAGCATAAGAAACCAAATTGAGTAATTTCTTTAATTTACTTGCTTTTAATGGTTTGAAAAGAGTGCAACCAGTGCTCCCCAATCCTCAATTTCCCCATTTGAGTGACAGTCCAACATCACAAAACTCTAATGATAACAGTAAATAACATGGTTATCATGTTTGTTTATTTGTTTTGGAAAAGCTTTCATAAAGGGAATATTCTTATACCTTCTTTCAATCCAGAAGGAGAAAAGATGGGTGTACTGAATATACTAGTTTTCACTAATCATTTTACATGTAGAATCTCACTGGTAATTTTTTTGAAAAATACAAAATCTTCAACACTAAATGATTCTGCATTTCAACAACAGATATGCTCTCTTCCTGAAGAAACTAAGGCAATCAATCCCTTTCCAATTCAATCAAGTAATTACAGCTTGGAAAAAAAAAATTACAAGTATGCCATGGATTTATTCACTTATAATATAAATCAAATAATCTTCATTTATAACATTAATAAAAAAGTAATTGTTGTGATACCACCTCTATCTGTGTAATCATATAATGAGATTTATAGCCAAACAGATGGCAAGCAAGTAAAAAGGGTCAGAAGTACTAGCCAAAATTTTAGAAAACATTAAGAACAAGATAAGCAGTCACTTCTGTCACCACATAATGCATACAAATTAAAATGTTTATTGGTTTCTATTAACTTGGCTGGTATACCTGAAAACTATTATTAAGAAACAATTTAAGATACTTCATAGCACTCAAAATTAGAATTCCAAGGACTAAATTACAAATTTTCATGAGAAATAAAGGATTAAGACATGAACATTTTTAACTAATGCCATTATCAGCATAATTATTCAAGCAAGTGTCAACAAGTTCCTAAGTACAGCCCAATTTCTATCTTCAGTACTGTGTATTCTTGAGAAAGTTTTTACCAGTAAAATCCAATTTTCCTTCTCATTCTGATTTAACCACTCAACATAGTGAACAAAATCAATTATAAAAATTGTTCATATAGCATGTTTAGCTTTCCGTAGAGGCTTTTTTTTTTTTTTTTTTTTTAATGGCATATAACCAGGTCAGCCATGAAACTGGTTTTCAAAAACCACCAGGGCACAAACATTGGCTCTGGCCCATAACATCTCTAGAGCTCTTCTCTCCTCAGGTTAATCACTGCCATTCTCCCTCCCAGTCTCAAATTTCATTCAGCTTCAGAGAAAC